CTGTGATCAATTCCCCCTTTCTACACCCCCCTTCCCTCCTGGTATCACCACTGTCACCCCTGGTCCTGAGTGGTTCATCTGTCCTAGATTCCCTGCGTTTCCAATTCCCATCTGTACCGCTGTGCATCATCTGGTCTAGCTAGATCTGCAAGGTAGAATTGGGGTCCTGGTAGTTTGGGGGAGGAAGCGTATGATATCCATAATGTCTTCTTTCATTAGTGTTCACGATGGAAAGTCACTTCGTGAGATGCTCTTGAAAATCAAATGACATATCCTCCAGGTTGTGTGTTAGCTCTCATGGACCTGTTTTCATTGTCTTCACCTCCAACTGAACTTACATGTGGGCAATGGAGGGTATCTGTTGGTGGTGAGCCCTGCCTGGCTCTTAGCTGCTGGTCTTCAGGGTCTCTGTTGTTTCTTCCCATGGCTACAGTGAATTTATTTTCTGTGTATTTATTCTGGAAAAGCTCATGTGTATAGTCACTGTATGTGTTGTTAAGGAAAAAAGTTACATTTGAAAAAATATTACATGTACATGAATATGTAATTGGTCATGCAAAATTCTGACATATGATCTCTGGCTTCTTTTTTTTTAACCAGCAAGACTCTATTTTCCACCTACCATTCTTTATTCTTTTTTCAATTTTAACTTCCAATGGCCAATGATATCAATGCATCTTGATTGCACGTTTGGTAAATTTCAGACTGAACATTTTTGTAGAATTCTTCAATGTCAGTATCATTTACTTTAGAGGTTGTTGCATACATGTGAATAATAATTCTATGGACTGGATTTCCTAGTGCATGGATAGACATTATTGTATTACATACAGCATTATACTTCAAGATAGAGCTTGAAATGTCGTTTTGATGATGAGTTCAATGCCACTTCTCTTCATAATGTCCTTCTGGACCAGTAAGCCTTTGAACACTGTTAATATTAATTAATCTTAGTGTCCTCTCCGCTTATTACCCTGGCCCAGTTTCAGAACTTCACCCCCTGCGGGCCCCACCCCACATTCAATGATATCTAGTGTGCACACACACACACATATCCTGTCGTGTGTGTGTGCTGCGTCATCAAGTCAGATGTCAACTCATAGAGCATCATGAGTTTCCCAGACTGTAACTGTTTACAGTAGTAGAAAGTCTGTTTTTTCTCCATCAGACCTGCCGGTGGTTTGGAACTTCTGACCATATGGATCACAGCCCAATGAGTAACCATTATGCCATCAGGGTTCCATCATCTATATAACAACAATAACAACAACAAAATTCATTGCTATAGAATAAATACTGACCCATAGCAACCCTGCTGTGGGTTTCTGAGACTGGCATTATCTCCTGGAATAGAAAGCTCAGTCTTTCTCCCACAGAGCTACTGGTGGTTTTGAACTGCTGACCCAAAATGTCACAGCTCGGTACTCCTGTTCATATGAATATGCATATTTATATATATAAATGTTTTATTTTATATATAAAACATATATATATATATGTATATATATATATATATGTTTTATTTTTATGATGTGTAGTATCGCACTGTGTGGATGTTTATCCGTCCATTCTTCCACTACTAGGAATTTAGGTTGTTTCTCTATATTTGACATTCTGAATAGTGCTGTGATAAATTAGAGAAAAAAGAGCCATGGCATGAATATATATATCCATAGTCCTATTGATCTTTTACACCGTACTCTCCCTTGGGAGGACTGAGTTAAAAGAAATGGGAATAAATTTAGCTTAATGTATTTTTAGTAACATTTAAAAAGTAAATGTCTAGTAATAGTGTCCCACTGGCATGTCCCTGCATCTGAAGCAGGTGACTGGTACAACACAGGTTAAAATGCAATACTGAAGAATTTCTCAGACTCTCCTTAGAAAATAGAGTGAAGGTTCCTGGGATTTTATAAATAAAAAGTACTTCCAATGATACCCTATGCAATCTAAGATCTCCAGGTGGCATCTGTTTCGTTGGACATACATTTAATTTAATGTGTACTTTTCCTAGTCACTAAGAAAGATTTCTTTTGAATGTGATGGATGAAAAATTTGAGCTTTTAAAATCAGGCCATTAGGTAAGTCAAATGAAGCCTCCTTGCATAGTAAGTTATTTTGGGGGCTTCAAGCCTACAGGTGAATGGCTCAAAGTCACCAGCTTTTCTAAAGTGAAAAATGACGCAATCAGCTTCAAAAAATATTTCTAGGTTCAGAAAACCTATGGGGACATTTCCACTCTGCCCCATATTGTCATCATGAGCCAGAATTCCCATGATGCCAGCAGAGTGTTGGTTTGCAGTAAATCAACATGACTATGGGAATATATGTGCTTTGAGGACATCCCTATGCAAACCCCAGTATCTCTGTGTCCAGAAGAAACTCATTTCTAACTGCTGTGCTGAGGACTATTTGGGTTTCTCTGAAAAGAAATCTAGTATATATGTCCCATGTTTACTATTAATGTTTCAGGTGCGCCCATTTCAATTTAAAGCACTTTTTATTTTTCTTACTAGCACACTGTGATGTCCATCTCTGATTGTATAAGGAGTGCCAGTCTTAGCAAAGGCTGTCTTCCTCTTTAGAGAGGGTTTTGCCTGGAATTGTTCTTGTCAGTTCTCACCCTGCACCAGCTGAGGGAGCAAGAGACCTCCTCTGCACCTGACAGGGCAAACCTCGGGAGCTGCTCCTGGTATCTCCTTTCAGTTTCTGTGTCCTGTTCATAAGAACTGGACCACACTGAGCTTCCACGTCTGATAGAGGTTCCATCGATGAGCTTCTATATGAATGAGATATGTGTTGGCACATGTTCTTGGAGCCCAGATTGTGAACGATTTCCCTATCATATTAAGAAAAAATTTGTACATCCCTTTACCGAAAGTTGAGGTTTTAAAGATAGCAGTGTAACTATAGTCTCCCTCCTCTTCATCTGTTTCTCTTGCACACTCACGCAGACTATTGTGCATTCCTCTATTGAATTTTGAGTTTTCTAAAGATACACCTGACACTATCCACACGGTATAGATCCTCCCATTCTGTTTTTATATAGTTTCTTTCTCTCTGTTCTTCTCTGTCTCACACACACAAACATGCTCTGTGTGCGCGGGCATGCACACACACACACATCAGTGCAATTGTACACGCCTGCTCGCACGTGCACACATGGAAGGGATGCCATATGTCCAGAGTGAAACCCACTTGGAGAAACAGAAGTGCTGAACACTACGTCCCAGGCTCATTGTGCGGGGACATTTGTCAGTTTTCTCTTTGGCAATGAGATTTTTCTCACCCTCAAGACATGCAAATGACTTTTTCATCTGTTCTTTTTTCTGTCATTTGCATAATTTTCTCCGATAAAACTGAAAGCTGTCTAAAAAAAAAGAAGAAGAAAATTAACCATTTGGGGCCTTGCCATGCAGTTCCATGACCTTTCGGGCAGAGTGAGATTTCTTCTGGGAAGGAGTCACTTTCGGTGCTGGGGGCTCAGTGACAGAGAGAGCTGATGAGGGATGGGTGTCTGCAGGTTGTCAAGGGCGCTCGGCTCCATTTTAAAAGTTGTGTGGCATTTGGGAGCCTGGCATGCCCTTTGCTGGGTCCTCTCATGAAATCAGGATTTCCACTGAGAACACAGGAGAGTATCCACGTGGGTGTAATGCCTTTTTCTCTTACAACCTCAGCTTCATTGCCACACTGCACGTGGTCTGGTGAGTGCGGCACTATTTTAAAATGTTCTTGGTAGAACTACACAAGCAGCGCTCACTTCTCCATGCAATGGTTCAGGTGCTTGTGGCTGTTTAAAAGGGGGAGAGAGAGAGGGGAAATAAAAAGGTAAACCTGGCACAAATGCTTATTTAGGATGAAGATTTCATACGTAGCAGGTTTGCCCTCTGGGCAGCTGGGCTAAACCTCTCAATTCAGGTTGGTGAAACTAAACGTGGAAGTATGTCCCAGGCTAGGGCGATAGACAAGATCAGCTCTCTCTTCTGTCACTTGGCTTGAAACATGTCTCTTCTCTCTTGCCTTATAAATCAGTTCTATCAGCCTATTAATTGTTTCACAGTATCTGAGAGCTAACATCGGATGCACCTCCAAACCCAGCAAGAGAAAGCACCGTGTGTGTGTGTGTGTGTGTGTGTGTGTGTGTGTGTGTGTGTGTTTCTTTAGATGACTGGAACTCTGTAGCTAATCCCTTGCAAATTACAGTCTGGAAGTAGTTCATCCATTCGGCTGGAAAAAGGCAGGATTCCCAAGTGGCCCTGGTGCCGTTTCCAATTCCCAGGAGAGCCACCAAGACTCCCTGTGCATTGCGTGCGCCCCGAGAGAGTTCCAGGCTAATCAGGTCACTGATGATCGCCAGGCTCCCGGGACTTGACAGGAGCCTATCACAGACCCAGGGAGCCTCCTGATGGCCAGAGCTTGCTCATGGACTCGCTCCCGTGCAGATGCACGGCTCAGTCCTGCTTCGCTCCCTGGGAACCTCGGAGGATTTCAACTGCTCTCTCTCCCCCCTCAGACTGCCAGGAGCTCCCTGTAAACAGCCCGAAGGGGCCCAGGATGCAGCTACTTGGAAGGTGTTGATTGAAAACTTCGATCCCCCCACCCCAGTCACGCTTGATTTGCCTGATTTCTCATCTCGTTCACGGAGAATATATTTCAATTAAGGTAAGTGCTGCTTTATCTGGGTGACTGCATTGCCCCGGCTTTCTGCATTGAAAGTTCTAAATGACTACACTGACATTCTGCACTGCAGCTAGTGGCTGTTTATGTCAGGAAAAGGCTGGTTGATAAGCAAGTGTCCTAGAATGGCAGCCAGCGCTGGGGAATCATGGCATTCCCAGGCACTTTCTTTAGGAGATCAAATCATTGAGACTTGCTTCAGAGAAAATCAAAAGGGTATCTGAAAGGAGGACTCATTGCTGATTTTACCTTTTTAATCATCTGTTTAGAGCACTATGTGGTCCAAAAGGTAACTTAATTCTGATAGAAGTGTCTTGTTGAGCCAGCCGGTAAAAGATCTGAGTCTGAAAGCTTCAAAGTTCAATTAAATGGAAAGGAAATTTGCAAAGGTGAATTGCAGTGTTTGTGCAGTTTCTACTTCAGCAGTGTTTCCGACCTCCCCTCCACCTCGGGCTTTCATTCGAAACCTCCAAATATATGTGTTATTTTAGTGTCCCTTGAGGAGTTCAAATACAAAAGGTGGAGTTTGGAGTTTAACTTTCAAGAATAATTCACTGAGGAGATTGAAGATAACCTTGGTCCGGCTTATAGTTCGTTTCGTGTACAGGAGAGAGGGATTCCTCTCAGAAAATGATCGCAATAAAAGCAGAAGTGAAGGAAACTTAAATGCTTCCTCCTCAGATGCTTATTTTGAAAGTAGAATTGTATAATAAGGTGGATGGTTAATTACTTCTATCGTGAAATTTCCAGCGGGATGCTTGCAGTTGCTCTTTGCTGTAAGACAATAGTAAATTGAAGTTGAGTTTGCATCTGACTGGGGAGTTTGAGTCACCGGAGCATGTCTTACTTCTATACCCATTTTTCTGACATTTCTTAAACATATCTGGTAACTCATATAGGTCACTCATTTCAAAGTTTGAATTAATTAGTCATCTAAACTCTGAGGCTTCTGTGTTCCTTTGCACATATAAATAGGGTCTGAAGGCTTTAGCCTACTTTGTAATAAATTTTCACATAGTCCAGAATGATTGGCTAATCCAGTCAATGTAATGATATTACACTTTATTGATTATCACTCTAAGCACATCAAGAAACCCAACTGTTCATCTTATTATAGGGTACTGAAACTTTAAAAAGATTTGTCAAAGTGGAAACAAAGCGTCACAAATAGAATTACCTGTTGTTATAGGCGCATACTCTTAAAGAGGACTTTCACGAACTCGTTTGTAATAGGAAAGTGAAATGCAAATACCAAGCTGCCTTTGTGTGAAGCTGTGCACAGTACTGTTTCCTCTGAGCCTTTCTAGAGTGAGCATTCAAACCTCCTGAAATGTTGATTCTCCTCCTGCTTCTGGATACCAGGAGATGGGCCATTGGACAGAGCTGTCAGAACACTGCGGATGTTAATTGGCTCGCCTTCAGAAATCCTCTGGGGAGCTTTCCGGGGTGGGGGAGCTTTTCGGGCTGATGTTGATGTTACTGACGAGCCCCAGGAATAAAACATTTTCAAGTCTCAGAAGCACTGGTGTGTAGTCATGAGTTAGCTGTAGGTTTTCAGTCCGAGCCTGCAGACATTTACCTCTCTGTGCAGTACTGTGAGTCCCTTCCTGGGGAAAGGTTTGTCATCAGACACGGAGAGGAGTGTTTTGACTATAGTTACCACCCCTAGGTCTCTAACTGCTGCCCTCTCCTCCTCCACTTCTTTTTCTTAAAGACCCCAGGCCCAGAAAAGGCAACACTAAACAATCAGAGCTACCATCCCTAGTAACAAACTTGTACATTGCTGGAAACACTTAGCTGTTAAGTCTTAAAGTGTATCCCTTATGCCTAGTTCAAAACTGATGGAGCAGCACATCCAATGAAATTTGACAGGATCATTTCAGTAATGCCTTTGACTATGCAAGGATACATTTAATGGTTAAGGAAAGGTTTGCATTTACAAATAAAAATAGGAAGACAATTGTAGTTCTTCAGAGTGTTTATTCCGTTTTTACAGGGCTTGGTTATTCTTCCACTGCTCTTGTTCCTGAGTCTTGATTTGCATCACAGAGGCTGGTAAAACAACAGAGAGCCTCTTGGGTAGCATTTAAACTCCCCTCTGGGCAATTCCTAACATAGAACCCTTTAAATTAAAAAACAACAAACCTCACAGACTTGGAGTCTATGCCAACTCAAGGCCAAGCTGTAGACAGGGTAGAACTGCCCCTGTGAGTTTCAGAGACAGGAACTGTTTGCAGAGTGTAGGAACCCCTGTCTTTCTGCCTCGAAGCTGCTGCTGGTTTCAAATGACTGACCTTGGACACACAGCATAACCACTATGCCACCGGGATTCCTGGGGACCCTTTAAGGAATTGTTGACATTTGTTAGCATCAAAATTCTCAATCTGTCTTCCTTTGCTTTCTATTTTTTTAAACATGTATAGTATACTGTATAGTTTTCATATTCAATGTCTGTATTTCCTTTCATTTGACTGGAATTGATTCTTTCTGGGAGATCAGAAAACAGGATCAGATAAAACTCATTACAGTAGGAAACTTCAAAAGGAAGCAAATAAAAACATGTTAAAACTTTCTAAATCTTGACTGAAGATTTAACATCTACTCATCAATATGTACCATGGCCTTTTCAATAAAGGATGATGCAAATTGGTAAGCTAAAACCACACTGACTGCCATCAAGTCAATATCCACTCACAACAACTCTATTGGACAGGGTAGAGCTGCCCTTAGGTGTTTCTGTAATTCAGAAGCATAGGAAGCCCTGGGGGCCACTGGAGGTTTCAAACTGCCCTCCTTGTGGGTCACAGTCCACTGCAAACCACCAAGATACCAGAGAAGGATAGCACCTAGCAAATTGTGCATGCCTGCTAAATACCAGATATCTAGGATATGTATTTGGCATCTGTGATTCTATGATCATCACATCAAAAGGATACAGCAAAAGCTATTTATTCCAATTTTTCACATAAGGAAATGTGTGCTAGGATCTAGTGCATAAATGGGTCGAGTGTCCATTGTAATTAGTCGACTTATGGTTCAAAATCAGTTCAAGTTATACTACGGTAAATCATTTATAACTTAATTGTATTACCTTCAGAACAATTCAGTCAGTGGCTGACTCAAAATAAAGGATTGTATAAATTTCATAATCAACTGTGTTAGGAACAAACATATAAACTGTTCCTTTAAATTATGAATGAGGTTAGTGTTCAGTCCTTTGCTTTAAGCGGATTCTACTTTCTAATGAATTGTGGGGGGGGGCATTCTATTATCTGGGTAATCACCATTGAACTTTAATATCTTTACTGCAGGCATAGTCCTAGAGTTATGAAAGAGCTATTTTTAATTGTGTCTTCTTGAATTTGCAGGTAAATCAGACCAGGGACGTAGAGTTCATCTTCTGTCTTAACTTTAGGGCAGTGTTTCCCCAAGTGGCTGACACCACTCCTGGGGAACGCTAGAAAAACCCAAGGGAGCTGCAAAAGGAGATGCCTATACCTTCTCCTGAATTATGGGCTAGAGTACAAACAGTTACATCACCAGGGGAGCGCTAAGCTTTTTTTTTCCCTGAAAAGGGGGCTATGGGCCGAATACGTTTCGGGACCTGTGCTCTTGACAAAACTCAGGATTGTCTTTTCAATTCCTTAAGGGCTGCATGTTCATCGAGCGAAGGTGACTGCGGTGACGACTCTGTGGCGAGTAGAGGCTAGTTCGGTCATTTGGAAGGGAGGGCAACTTTCCATGACATTAAAGAGCGAGCAGGACTTTCCCATAAATGGGTTGTTCACAACCTGGGGACATCTTGCGTACATTTTCTAAGAGAGGCAGACTAACTCACTTTAAATTAAATAAAATGTAGAGACACAAATCCAATACTACTTATTTTGAAAGGTGATAAAAATGATTGATCAAAAGCAGCCTCCAAAAACAAAACAAAAACTCATTGCCATCAAGTCAGGAGTGACTAATAGAGAGCCTATTGGACAGAGTGGAACTGCCTCTGTGAGTTTCTGAGACTGTGTATCTTTATGGGAGTAGAACACCCTTCTTTCTGTGGCAGAGCAGCTGGTGGTTTTGAACTGCCGACTTTGCAGTTAGCAGCCCAACTCAGAGGCAGTATGAGGGCATTTGGAAAGAAGATTAAAAGGAGTGATCAAAAGCAGCTAAAGGGTATTCATATTAATGGCAAGAGACACACACACACATATTGATGAACTGACAGCTGAAAAGGAAGGCTATAAGGCAAACTGTAAGAAAGTAGATATAAATACACAGAAATGTATCTTTTTTACTGACTTTAAGTAAACCTTCCTATAGATATGCAATGATTTGCTGCAGTTAAATGTGTTGATAAGGCAACACTGTTCCCCAAACTAAAACTGGGTCCACTCTTATCACAAAAAAGGGAGAACTTTTTTTTTTTTTAAGGGAGAACTTTTATAACATTAGGGTTGAACCTAGAAAATCTCATCTTAAATGATTGTCACATCCTGAGACGTGCTGAGATGTTAACTAAAGGTTAGGATGTAACACTAGAACATATTGCACCTCCAAATTTTCCCAAGCCTCTGAAAAGATGAAATTGGTGTGAATTGGGGAGTGTGTGTGTGTGTGTGTGTGTGTGTGTGTATTAGCCAGATTGGTGGATTTGTGTCTGCTTTTTTGCTAAATGGCATAATGCAACTAACTTCCTTTTGTTCTTGATGATGACTTTAGATCATCCGATAAGCAACGTAAGCCCTCGCGGACTAGTAGTGAGCTCTGGTGAAGTCGTAGTTATGCTTTGGGCTCTGCTTTCAGAAAGGTCTCCTAGGGAGAAAGCCTGGCCTCCCCACTCCCATGAACAATTAGAGTCTCAGAAGCCCACTCAGGGACAGTTGGACCCTGACCTCTACATCATTATGAGTTCACATTTACTCAATGGCACTGACATTGTGTTTGTTTTTGTTTTGAGTGAACAAATTAGCTTTTCCTCCCTACCAATT